TGTCCCCTAGATCGCCCATCATTCCTAACCCTAGAATCGCCACCAGATCTTCCACCAGATGTAGGCGATCACTCAACCTATCCCTAAAGAAACCTCACAGCTACAAAGGTAAAGACGACAAGGATTTATGGTTCCTACCACCCGTCATGGCAAAGACCCTGGTTATTGTATCCTCTAACCTGGCTAGGATTGCATCCTTCGTCGGGGACTGGGAGATCCATAGCTACTCTGGAGCCAAGATCAGCCACATCAAACAGATACTCCAGAACTACATGGGTCCTGCACCAGAGGAATTAGTGATACACGTCGGGCTCAACAACAGGGAGGAAAGTGGACCAAGGATACACGAGCAGATGCTAGATCTACTCAAGGTGACCAGAGCAGCTTTCCCAACAACCAAGCTCTTCGCCACACAGATCCCCACTTCTTCCCGACTCCGACAAGAAAATCCGATCGCCTACCAAAACATCACCAGCTACAACCAACTGATCTCCACTGCACCTTCACCAAACGCCACCACATTACCAACCTTCAAGGGCAAAATAGAACTGAAAGGTAACGACGCAATCCACTGGAGCCCAGACACGGCCAGGGAGATCATCAACTGCTGGATGAGGAATTTAAACTAGGATTAGGGAAAAGGAATGAGAAGCCGTCTTTAGGACAGACAGTTGTCAATTTGAGCGACAGACTTCTCAACCCCCTAGAAATGAATATTCTTGATAAAGGCCTTAAATTCATCCCAACCCCCACAATAACATCCATAGACCCCATCACCCAGGCAACCCATCGCTTCCAAAGAACACTTTCGTTGACTTATTTTTTTAGGAACAAACCCGGCAGAGGTAAAAAATTATTCACAGCAAAATCCACATGGAAACCACCTAAAATGTCATTATCACCAGCCATCCTAAAAACTTTCGACGAAATGAATATAGAAATATCACCCATTCAACCACAGTCACAAAAACCAAATCTCAACCGAGCAACTAAAACGGCATTAAACACCCTTAAAAAGGACAAAAACATAATAATTAAGAAAAGCGACAAAGGCTCGTGTTGTGTCATAATGAATCGCGCAGTCTATATCTCAGAGGCAGAAAAACAATTAAGTAATCCTATAAATTACACTAAATTAGACCAATCCATCTTTAAGGACACCGCAAATTTAATAAACAACATCTTATATGAATTGCAGGATAAGGAATACATAACAGCAAAATAATATGATTATCTATCTGCTAAATCTGACTGCCGACAAAGACATCTCTATACACTACCAAAAATACATAAAAATCCAGAAACAGAATGGTTTATACCTAATAAAATACCCAAGGGACGCCCAATAATATCAGACTGTGGCAGCGAATCATACAACGTATCACAATATATAGACCATTTCTTATTACCCCTAGCATGCCAACACCCATCCTACCTTAAAGACACTAACGATTTCATTCAGAAAATCAAACAGTTAAGAGTCCCCGAACACACCGTTTTAATATCCATCGACGTACAAAGCATGTACACGAACATTGATAATAACACAGGTATTAAAGCAGTTAGGAAAGCATTTCTTAGGAACCCGCAAGCATCCAGGCCGGACGAAGAAATCCTCAAACTACTCGACATGTGTCTAAGGAGGAATGACTTCGTTTTTAACGACCAAGTATACCTTCAGTCTTCCGGAACTGCGATGGGAAAACGATTTGCCCCGAGTAATGCAAATCTCTTCATGGCGGAGTGGGAAAGGGAAGTTCTGCCACTCTGTCCATTAAAACCAGATTTCTATTGGCGGTTTTTAGATGACGTTTTCATAGTCTGGACCTACACACTAGACGAATTTTGGACGTTTTTCAACATTCTGAACAATCATCATCCATCTGTCAAATTAACCGCAAATGTAAGCCATAACAGCATAGATTTCCTTGATACTACCGTTTTTAAAAGTAACAACACCAAAATCACAGGCCAATTGGAAACTAAAGTATTTTTCAAAGAAACCGACACACATCAATTATTGTTCAAACGCTCCTTTCACCCAAAACATACATTCTCTGGCATCATAAAATCTCAGATTCTCCGTTTTCATAGGATATGTACTCAGAAGATCGACTTTGAGTCAGCATGTACATTGGTATTTAGCAAACTAAGGGAAAGGGGATACTCCAAACGCTATCTACGACGTATAAAAAACAACACTCTAGCTGAGCTTGCCGCCAAAGAAACAAATAATATACAATCAGCACATAAAACCAAAATTTGTGGCCATCCAAGATGTCAAACATGCAAAATCTTAAACATATCCGAAGAAAACATCTGGCACAAAATTCCCAATATTAGACCAACTTTCATGCAGTAGTTCAAACATAATTTATCTAATCTCATGCAGAAAATGTGACAAGCAATACGTAGGGGAGACTCAAAATGCACTTAGGGAAAGAATTAACGGTCACCGGTCTGACATAGTCACCAAAAAAGACAAACCTGTCTCAATTCATTTCAACCAACCAAATCATGACATTTCTGATCTCATTGTCACGCCAATAGAAAAGACCAAGAGCGACTTTGAAACTTCAGAAGAAATTAAAACGTTTAGGCTAACAAGAGAAAAATTCTGGATTGAAAAATTGAAAACAACAGCCCCCCTAGTTTTGAATATTCATACGGCTAGCGCAATAGCTCCTTTTGTAGTTCCATTTAGCGCAACAGCAGCAAGTGCGTCCAAAGTCATCAGAAAACACTATACTGATCTCCAAGAAAATCACCCGAAAATATTCACACAGAAACTTATAATTGCATATTCTAAAAATAAAAATCTGAACGACATCCTAGTGCACAGTAAATTAGATTAAATAAGACCAGTCTCCACCCTGACCCAAAACAAACCATATATCAAATCCTATGCCTAACCGTTAGTAATTAAAATCAATTAGATATAAGAATCCCTAGCCGTAACCCGGTGATGTTGAACAAACACGATTTTTTAGAAAATCCAATCCGTAGTAGGAAACACACTAATGTGGCTCTCTCCCGAGAGCCTCAAATTTATTTTCTTTTTTCTTCAGAAACAATAATACCAGAATACCAGAAGCACCACCCAAGGAAGACCATCAGCGCCACCAACACCAATAAACAGTGAAATCGGCTTTATATATAAATCTAATGTATTGTATGTATTTTAATAAAACTAGGAAATATCACGAACTAATTTTTCATCATCCTAGGTCAGTGCTTATGTGGAGACTTAACCTCTCCCCCAAATTCTTAAAACTAACCCCTTTAAGAGTAGTAAAAACTAAATTAGACCCAAGTTCAGTCTTTTAAAAAGGGTTAGGGTTAGGGTTCGGGTTAGTTATCCCCAAATTTCTCATTTATATAAAGCGGTCATTTTGGACTCCGGAAGCACCCGAACCTCGATAAACTACTAGACGGTTTTATTTGTACCGTGCGGTAAGGACGGCCAGCCCTCGATAAACTACTAGAAGGTTTTATTACTCAACAAATACCTTCTCGAAGTATGTAATAAAATCTAATCGGGTGTCCTTGTGGACCACACGGGACTCCGGCCTAAATAGAGCGAACACATACAACGGGCACCATTACAAAGTATATATATATATACATTTATATTTTGTATCTATTATGAAAACACAAAGATACAGTCTTAAAGGGAAGTTTATAGCTCATATTTTGTCATGCATTTAAAGTAAAATGAGAATATGCTACAATATTGTTGAAAAGGCATCACCTTTTGCAAAATGTGCTCAGCTAATAAGTCACTTCGAATCAGATTATTACGTATCTATTTAGTTTATGGTTTTCAATTAAAATCTATTAAAATACAATAATTGTTTTCCATAGAACTGTTGTGTTTATTTCAGTAATTGGTTTCCATAGAAATTTTATGTTTATTTCTGTAATTGGTTAAACATTCATTATATACAAGAGCTAAATCTGCCTATTGCAGGTCTTTCTTTAGGCCTGAAATGTCATCTAAATTATTAATTAGACATTAATTAACTTAGCCTGCGATATTTAGTGGATTGTGATCCGATTTACTGCACAACTTTCCTTCACGATTTAATAATTAAATGGATAATCGTGACTATGATTTTTGTCGTACCGACTTTAGTAATGATGATCGAGGCTAGGCGGAAATTTCAATCGCTTAATTCTCGGTTCATAGTGGATCAATTTGACTGAAATTTTCAGCAAATTGCCTTTACATTATCCAGTTTTTAACTATTATAGTGAGAACTGCCAACTCGTTATCTAATCTCCCATAGTGTATCTTTAAAATAGAAATTTTAGGATTATTTCAGTAATTGGTTTCCATAGGGTTGTGTTTATTTCGGTAATTTGTTTCCATAGAACCGTTAGTGTTTATTTCAGTAATTGGTTTCCATAGAGCTGTTGTGTTTATTTCAGTAATTGGTTTCCATAGGACCGTTATGTTTATTTGAATGTGATCAGTTGCTTAATACTGTTTAAACAGTACTCTTCATCTAATTCAAATGCCAAGGGAAATTTACATGCTAACATACACATTGTACCTCTGTCGTCCCATCTGAATAATTAGATGTCCAGTTGGGCATATTCCCATTCGGACGTTTGCCAACTAGTGCAGGACACGTGCAAACAGCATCCCTTTACCGTACCACTAACCAGTGGTAACCAGACTGGAATATCCATAGGAATGGACGGAAATGAATAGACAAAAGAGAAATGGGGTTGGGGTTTAAAAATCCATGACACAATGGTTCATTTTGGGACCAACATATCGTTCAATTTTATTTCATTAATTCGCTTGTGTGTAGGGGTCTGGAAGGAAACCGGAGGACTAAAGAGAAAACTCATAAGGTTGGACAGGTGGCCCTACTCTTTGTCGTCATGTACAAGTATGGCATCAAAAACACGCCACTTGACTCAATGACAGACCTTACAATCTAAAGCGTATGCGTCAGACCACCATATAAAATAACAATAGGTAGTTGTGATTGTTTGGTAAAATACATTTATTTTATATCATCATCAATAATATACAAGAGTTCAAATCGCGATACACAGTCTCTTAAATATCGCCGCCACATTTATTTAAACAGAACAACTCTCTTTATAAATGCTGTCCATCTTGTTTTAAAAACGTCACTTCATTACAAATTATTATTTACAGGGATTTTTTTAAAAAAAGGGGAAAAAGAAAGAAGAGGCCCAATCGTCTAAGAGTATATGTGTGAAAATTTAGCTTACTGAGAATATGAATGCCCACAAGACCTTATGGACTCCTATAACTTATTTGAACATATCCATTTTGGTTGAAATCCCTCTAGCCATAAATGCATCCATTTGCCCAATCAAAGTGTCCCTGTTAACCACCCTGTGGATTCTAGCTACTTAACTTAAACCAAATTTCATTGTAACCCATCAAGTGATTTAGCAGTAATAGTCTAAAATAACTAATTCCTTACGCTTGGCGGCTGGACGATGGACAGAAGTAACAACATAAGCCCTTAGGGCTGATGGCCTAAAAAAAGGAAAGAATATAAATGACAACGGTAACTATGGCGATGATGAAAACTACTTATTTATATGTATAGATATGACAGCTACAAACTAATAATGTACAATATTTCTAAACTTGTATACAATCTTTGTTTCAGTTCACCATAAATTCATGGTGCAAAAAGTTGTATGTTTAGGTATTAAGATGAAAAATCTATATTTTAATATGATTATAATTTATAGTTATACATTCTGATAAATAGAGGGTCATTTAGATTACCTCCCTTTGGTTTTTATACTTTACTCAAATTTCAAAACAAAGAATATATGTTAAATAAATAATTGCCCCTCAAATGTTCATAATGATATACAACAGAATTTATAACAAGTTATTAACTAAACTTGATTTTCTTTGAAACTTTGAAATAAGAAGAATGGCAAAGAGCTCATAAATTTCAAGGAAATTCTATGTAAATGTGAACTCGAACACTTTTGCAAATTTTTAAAACATAATTCAAAATACAATTCAATTTAATACTTTAACAATTTACATAATTTGTGTAACAAACAATCTCATTATTGTTATTTTTGATGAATTTTACAAACATGATAAATATTTAGAACAGAAATAGTTTACAATCTACAAAACCTATCAAAATATACTGTTGTATGTTACCATGGAAACAATGGTCAATATAAATAGTCACCATTAAAATCATGCATTAGATCAGAGTTCTTGTTGTGATCATATTTGCAGGTTTTGACTAACAGACAGTGAAACTGACCAGTTGGTGAATTTCAATGACTGTCAGACAATTTACTTGCCTTAAAAGTAACAAATTTCAATGAATTTAACTTAGAAACATACTAAATACAATTATATTCATAGTTTTTAATTGTCAATTTACTTCCAAGAATTGAGATAACCATTAAAATTGTCTTATTCTTCCAAAAAACTACCAGGGACCTCACTGATCATCAATGATTGATGTAAACTTAAACTAGAATATTTTAACACTGTAGCCTTGTCATCGATAGAGGGTAAAATTCCTAGAACAAATTTTAGCTCTTCGCCAAAGAAAAGGCTGCTTCTTAAAAGATTTTAGTTTGAGTGAATAAGGCCCTGAAACACTTTAATTACATGTGCTACATTTCACAGACAATTTGAGGACATGGAATAAAACACTTTCAGTACATGACCTACATTACACAGATAATGTGAGGACATGAAATAAAACAGAGGTAAAAAAGTAAAACAGTGTAGTGAAAAATATTGTATAGAGTTTGGTTATTAAGTACAATAGATGCTTATCAAGTAAAAGGTGCCGCGGAGGTCAATCACTGGCCTCTTGATTAGAAAATCCCGGATTAGAAGACCCCAGCATGACTCGAGAAAAACATTCAGGATTTTTCAAGCCAGGTTCTTACTTGTCAGGGATCAAGCTAGCAGGGTTCACAAGGAAAGTGTGCCTAGTTGTTAGCATGGGACAAAAAAACAAAGTCCACGCGCATACACATTGCAGTGCACGTAATAAAACTCTTGGCAGTTGGAATTATGAGAGAATTATATGCAGAAATGCCACACTCTGGGGAAAATTCTTCCCTTCAAGCAATTTTTATTATCGTCAAAGAAAAGCCATTGGGTTTGTTCACCCAATATTTCACTCAGTCTGAGACTAACATAGTAATATATATTTTATGGATACACGTGCCATATGAGAATTTTTCCTGAACAATTGCATTTTTGACCTATGGTTGTGTATATGAAATGTATCTTAGCTGTTTGAATTTGAAAAAAGTTGTTGATTGAAAAACAACCACAAACTTCCCAGACAAAGAAAAAAACAGCATAATGATAAAAACATTAAATCCATGAAAAAATCAGTTACTGTGGAGTTATATATTTACAATTATGACTGACACATTTAATAAAACACAAGACAACCGACCATATCATATAATACCACAACGAAAAAACAATCTTTCTTCATTTGATTGAAATCTATTGATGAAAAATAATATACAAAATGAAAATATTGCTTAAAAAATTTGACAAATAATAATAATTTATTTGTAAAATAATTTCATCGAAGTGACTGACATTTGGAGTTTGTGTTGAGTAAAACATTAATGATGTGTGATATTAATTCTAATACCATTGGTGACTGGTTTTACAAATGGAGAGATTACTAATCTAATAATTACTACAAATAACACTATTCACAATAATTTACAGTAGTCAATATTAGGAGTTATTCCCCTTGATTCTCTTGACCAGTTTAAATGATAAATATCGGGTACAAATTTCTTATTTTATAAACAACTACTTAGATGTAGAAGTTTAAAAAAAAACAAAACCTGCCAGTATGGATGCAGGATAACACACAAAAAGCTTAGCTATTATTAAAAGGATCTATTCCAGATATATTTCAGACTGCATTTTGGCATTCAATTGAATACTTAAAACCATTTCACTACAAACAAAATCGTGTGAAATCTGGGACTACTCCTACAGCTTCATTATTAAAAACTACATTTCTGAATTCTTTAATGTTAATTCTTTACTCTAAGTAATTATCTTATAACAATCTCACACATTTCTTCAAACTGAAGAAGTTTATTATTGAATAATGCCCATTGTTTATCTCTCCGTAATGTCACTTATCCTAAACAATTGTTACTTTGGTTGCCAACTAATTTAAAGAGTTTTAAGAAATATAGATGTTTGTAAGATTGGAATCTGCAATACTGTATTTTACTTTGATGAATGTGGTTTGTTTTTATAAATTAATGACAACATTGTTACTATAAGATTTAGATATCTGTTTGTGTAAGATATTTGTATATAAGTGAACAGGATCAACTCTACAGTGTATTATAGAAACCAATCAGTGAAGGACTTGTCTAAAATATTTTAGGTGTCAAGGTCTTAATATATTTTATGAATATCTGCATCATTATTAACCTATGTAGGCGGAATAACCTTCTTGTGGATATCAACCGTATTTTCTGACACAGATTAATCTAAACTTTATGAAGCATCATAAAGCATGCAAAATTGTAAAGTTTATTGTGCCGCTTTAATTAAATGGTATATACATACGAGACTTGCCTCGAACTTGAGGTTTATCTTAAAACAGTATATAATAGATTTAAAATGCAATAACACTAAGACTTTACTATAACGTCCTCACATATTATAAACAAGCAAGCCTGGAAATAAGGCACCGGTCACTGACCCAAAAACTATTTATGGAATAAAAATTATTGGTTTATTAACAGTCAATGTTTCGAAGATGATAATCTTGTCTTTATCAAGCAAATGATACATGCCACTCAAAGAAGTACAGATTCAGGCGTTATTAGGCACAATACCTCTGGAACCTGTCATGTTTTTATTAATATTATTCAAGATGCATTAGGTAATATTGGATAAAGAGATGGCAGTTCTTGCTATAATAGTTAAAAAATAGTTAATAAAAACAGAATGTGCTGAAAATTTCAGTCAAATTACTAGATATTAGCGATACAATTGCAGGCTAGCCTCAATTGTCATTACTACCGTTGTTACGATAATAAACTAAGTTTTGATTATCCATTTTTATGGAATCTGCATCGACCATAAACGTATTTGAATCTACTAAATATCGCAGGCATCCGATGGCATCTTGAGTTGATTACGGTCTTGTCATGTTAATTAATGTTGAATTAATAATTTAAGGTCTAAAGAAAGACCTGCATTAGGCAGATTTATCTCTTAAATAATGCGTGTTTAATACATGTTCAGTACAAAGTATAAAAGTATTCATTATTTCCAGGCTAGCACTAGGGCTTCATCATAACACTACTGGGAAACATACTGACTTTTGACTTAATAGCAAAAAGCTCTATTTGCCGATTTCCCAGTTTAGCAACTGTCATTACACAGAATTTCATAAAATATTAGCGGCAGTGCAAATAATTACACACTGTGAAAGAGAGCACTAAATATGGACTCTTTTGATTAAAATCGTGCACTGTTAAATACGTGATACAAAGCCAAGAACAGCTACAAATTTAACATAAATAAACCAAAATAATAAAAATACAAATGTTGAACATGTTTCCATGAAGAAATGGTGATGAGTTTGTGGATAATATCGGTTAACCATGCTAGATTCAAATCTACATAAATATGACTATGCTTTTCTTTATGATACGTTTTAGTGTAAAACGTTGAGAAAATTATGGGATGTGTGATGTTGCTATGGTGATATTATGAACAGCAGCTTTTGTAAACAGCTGACATGTCTGCCTCTGAATATCCCAAATTTCTTGATCTTTTGTACATCTGTAAATAGAAAACAAATATATTTAAGGAATGAATGAAATAAAGTTTTAACATCCTACATTTCGGCACCCACCGAGCTAAAAAAGACGGGCCTACGCCATACAGTGTGCTATGATGGAAATGTAAATGGAGCAATACAATGAAACTGAATTAAAGAAGCTGAAGATACTAGACAGAAGATAATTCCTGGATGTAAAGGTGAGGGAGAGACAAGAAACGAGCTAAACCACATCCTTCCAGATAACATTGGAGCCGTTGATATCTATATTCGAAACACTTAACCGGTATATATTTGGACGCTGCATTTGTTTGCAATTCCTAGATATGTCATAAATACTAGTGCCATATACTTAAAACTGTAAATGACTAATTGTAAATTAAATGAAATTCGGTATGATGTCATCCTGTTCTGCACCATCAGGCTAATGAAGGCAGGCACACGGCATGCAGTGTGCTATAAGGGGAAATTTTGCCTGGACAATAAACGCTACGGCCTACACTTATTTTGATCTTTTGCCTGACCCTCATTCTTCACCACACCAAGATCGAAGCCAGAACCTTCTGTTTTGTGGTCAAGTATTTTTGTAAACATATATTAATAAACCTCTTTTATTCAACATGATTTCTCTTGATATCCACAGTACTTGACAACTAAAAATATATTCACAGGACACAAGCTTGATAAAGAAATGTCGAAAAATCACGCAGTAACAAACATACATAATTAATTGAATTCCATAAAATTGTGTATTTCTAGTTCAATTACTAGATGCTGTTAGTGCTGATATCAAGTAAAATTTTACGCATCGATGCATCAGGAATTTTTTCCAGCCATTTTGTTAACATTAGTATTTCTGATAGAAACATAAGATTTCCCTAACATTATCATTTAGAAATGTTGATTTATTTGAATAAATATATTCCCACAATATTCTTCTGTTATTTATTATGACATTAACATCATCCGATTCACCTCAATTTACACTTGTTAGCCATTGTTCAAATTTTTTGTGACGGCATGAGGGGTGTGGAAGTTTGCATCAAAGCCTGTCGATAGGGATTTATAAAGTACATTCTCTATTGCCCGTGACAGAAAATAAGACTTAATCGTTTTAACAATAGCGTTTAAAACCGTCCTCCTGACATAGTTTGTTTGGCCATGGAGTGTATATTAGATTTGGGCTTTAAATGAACCGTGAAATTGACCTTGGGGTTGAAGGACATGATAGGCAGGGGAAGTAACCAACAAAGGCAGTCTTTGTAGTCAATGGAAAATGGAAACAAACATAACGGAAGCGTAGCATAAACAGGTCAAGCTGGGCTAGCCTTTAGAATACAATGTGCGGGGTTCATTGATTTGTTCCGTTACATGTATTTTGTTTTATTTTGAATTATAAAAACACAGAAAAACGTATTGAAAAGGTGTTATTTATTTTAGTGGATGAACTTGTGAACTCCTCGGACACATAAAGCTAATTATTAATAATTTTTGTTGATGCATCGATAATACAAAAAAGGGTGGCGAATCACATCGGCACCAGCCGAATGCATCGGATACTTGATATCAGCACCAGATGCCATTGAAACAATTTAGAAGTATATTATTCTATTAACTGACCTCGTTGGCGGCAGATGCCATGTGTAAAGGTTGTTCAACTCGATCACCCAGACCTAAAGCCAGACGTAAGTCTTTCTGTTGGTGTTGTAATGGAAAATGTGGATCATATTTTCCATTCATAATTGCTGGGAAAAAACCAACAAAAACAATATAAGTACTAATTTATTAAATGTTATTTATACAGCTGTGTATTACAGCCCAACAGTGTAATGTATTGTGAAATCTATTTCTTGAAGGAAAATCTTATTCTTATTAGAAAAGGAAAACATTTTTGCATATATAAAAATATATAATATCATCCACACTAATATGTATTCAGATTGATTATGTAACATTTAATTAAAGATACATTATGGGAGATAATGAGTTGGCAGTTCTCACTATAATAATTAAAAACTAGATAATGTAAAGGCAATTTACTGAGAATTTCATTTAAATTGATCCACTACGAACCAAGAATTAAGCAATTGAAATTTCCGCCTAGCCTCGATCATCATTACTAAAGTCGGTACGACAAAAATCATAGTCTGGATTATCCATTTAATCATTAAATCGTGATGGAAAGTTATGCAGTAAATCGGATCATAATCTACTATGTTAAACATACATTATGCAAGAGCTAAATCTGCCTATTTCAGGTCTTTCTTTAGGCCTGAAATGTTATCTAAATTATTAATCAGACATTAATTAACTTATCCAGACCATAATCAACTCTCAATGGCATCACTAGCCTGCAATCTTAAGTGGATTGTGAGCCGATTTACTGCATAACTTTCCTTCTCGATTAAACGATTATATGGATAATTGAGACTATGCTGTTTATCGTACTGACTTTAGTAATGATGACCGAGGCTTATGGGAAGTTCAGTCGCTTAGTTCTCGGTTCATAGTGGATCAATTTGAATGAATATTTCACCAAATTGCCTTTACATTATCTAGTTTTTAACTATTATAGTGAGAACTGCCAACTCGTTACCGAATCTCCCATAATGTATCTTTAAGAAATCAGAATCAAAATACCAACACCAGATAATGTCCCAGCTTAATTGGATTTAAAAAAGACCCCCCATCTATAAAAAGTTTACTAACAACAGGGTGTTTAGTTGCAGGAAACACTGGAGAAAACACAAGCTGGGGAATCTAAACCATGTCACTTGACTCAAAGACAAATCTTAAGATTTAAAGCGCAAACGTTAGACCAATCAGCCATGCCCACCTTATTTTGAAGAAATAAATCGCTGTGTCCTACTAACCTTGACATTTGTGTATTATTGTAGGGCAGGAAAGTGAACCAAGGGAGAGAATCTCTGTTAAATCTTCCTGGTCTAATCCAACTTTCTCTGCTAATGCCATAGTTTCACTTAAACTACTCATTACACACCCTAATAACATATTGTTAACTAACTTCATTTTACATGCTGTACCAACTTCATCTACAAAGAAATTTTTATAATTAATAACATATTGTTAACTAACTTCCATCTAAAAACTTACATATAATTAATAACTTCATTTCATGGCCATCTAAAGTTTACTTTAACTTTATTTATGAAGGTCATTTTTATTAAATTTCAGGGAAAAGCTTATTCACCTGTTGTAGCATTGATACTTTTAAAGGACAATATTGGTGCCAGTCATTATCACATATGTGATAGAGCTGGTTTAACACATTCCAAATATAATTTTAACACAGAGATCATTGCTACGATAGCTGAGTAATACAGTTTTCCAGAATCGGAAGTGACGAACGCCAAAGGAAAACACGAGTCATCTCTCTATATAACTGACTGATGTGACGAGTGATAACAGATATACAGGCGAATTTCTGCTCACTAATAATTCATTCGAAGACCAAAAGTTGTTGTATGAGATTGTGAGAGGATATCTGACAATTCATAAAAAGAATTGACTGCCACTAGATAAGTGAACACGAAAGAAAAACAGAAAAAGTCTGTGCATTACCATGTTTTTATAAGATATAGAATGAATATAAACAAGGGAATGTACAGACTATTTCTATTTTTCTCGTGTTCTCTTATCTAATGACATTCAATTACTTTATTGAACTGTCAGGTATCCTCTTACAGTCCCATATATCAACTTTTGGTCTTCGAAGGAATTATTAGTGAGCAGAAATTCGGCCGTATATCCGTTATCACTCGTCACATCAGTCGGTTATATAGAGAGATGCCTCGTGTTTTCCTTTGGCGTTTGTCACTTCCGGTTCAGGAAACCTGTATTACTCGGCTATCGTAGCAATGATCTCTGTGTTAAAATTATATTTGGAATGTGTTTAACCAGCTCTACCACATATGTGATAATGACTGGCACCAATATTGTCCTTTAACCCAATTAGATCAAACAACTATACAGGAAATACTTGATTTACCAAACATTAAATCATTAAGGGGCTATTTGTATGAAAACAAACCATTTCAGAACTAACATAATAATTATGGTATACAACTGGACAGGTGGTACCTGTCACAGACTTTGTAAGACACCAATTATCACATGTTTTTATTATAATACACACATTGTGTGATAATTTGTGTCTGACAAAGTCTGTGACAGATGCCTATTTTCACCCTTGTATAGATACGTTGTGTGATAATTTGTACAGGACAAAGTCTGTGATAGGTGCCTCATGTCCAGGCTTGGGTCTAATAAATATATACATATAAGAATTAAATACACTTACTTCCTAAGTAGAAAGATTTTTTGCCCATTGCCTCGAAACATGAGAAACAATCGTCATATAATTTACGATCACCGGAGGTCAAAATGACTAGTTGACCTTCTAATGCTGGAACACGACTTCCACAAACAGGTGCTTCTAAAAATACTCCACCTCTTGCCATAATTGCCTACAAACAAACAAACATTAAATACATGTATTACCGGTTATTTTTTCACCATATACAACATTGGTACCTATGTGACACATATAAGTGGTATCAGGTGTTCTATTTTATTCATAAATGAATGGTATTATAGATCAGGCATGGTCTATTTAACTGCTCTCCTAAAACCATCATTGGAAGAAATGCACAGAGTAGGACAATAAACTCCATTCCATTGCATTTTATCAGAATATTGTAATTTGATAGGTGTATTTGTCCCCATAAAAGTGGGTCAGAGGAATAACAATATTCTATAATGTATCAAGATCAATATCTCTAGAATCAATTAACAAAATTGCAATTCTGTTATTCTCAACAACAAATATATATTTCAAATACATCAGGTATAAACCCTTTATAATATTCTATAAAGTGAGCAAAAGCAATAATGTCTGAAACAATTAATGGATATTCTTGCTGTAAATCTATAAGTTTCTTTGTTTCACTAAACAGAGAAATGCATATAAATTCAAGCTGAATGGATCATAACTTTCGGCTAAAAGGTACAGAAGATTCTACACAGTGAGCAATGACAATAACTCTAGGAAAGATGGCCACAAAGATTGCAGCTTATCTAATAGGAAAACTTGGATGTATTGATGGAGATGACAGCAATACAATACACAACCAATTTACCTCTGCAACATCTTGGACTGTTTCTTCATCTATTGTTGACATTTCTACATAACATTTACCTTTAGTTATACCTTGTAATACACCTTGATTACCAAATACAATCTACAAAATACAATTACAATACCCCTTAATTACCAAATACAATTACAATACATACAGATTATCAAATACAATATACATTGATTACCAAATAAAATAAACATTGATTACCAAATACAATATACAATTCACATTTACCACCAAATACGATCATAATACACACTGATTACAAAACATAATTACAATTTTCAAATACGATCTACCACCCATAAAGGATTCACAGTAGCTCTGTGAATGTGGTGACTTGGTGATGGCTCACTAATGAGGAAGCCCCTAAGGTTTGTTCCTCAGGATATTCCTGGGTTTCCCCTTCTCAGTGGCACTGGATTGTAGTCTGGATAAAGGAAAAGGTCTAGTGATTTGGACAGGACAAAAAAAACCAAGTGTAGCGTATACCAATGGGTGCCAGTTAAAGATTCTCTTTCCATTGGAAATCAATAGCGCCACCATTGCATGCCAATCTCCATTAACCTGGTTTGTACAGATAAGTGGGACACTAATCCTTATTTTAATTCACCATCCTCACAGATGTTATCAACCCTGATTTCTAATTACATACTGAATATTAACAACAACTATTTGTTATTCATATTTGATGGAACTGTCCGGGAACAAATGTATTTCACACTATAGAGTTTCTGGTTGATAGGTTTAATATATATATTATTGATGCTAGTATTCTTGTTATAATAATAGATATTAATTAATCTGGCTGATCTCTTCGCATAAATACGTTGTAAATACTTGTCATAATCTATTATTCATCAAACTAATTCATGCATTAAACTTATATCATCTCTAATACATATAAAACATATGGCTTATTTTCATTATGTTATTATAATAAATATAACATTAATTACAATGTTCAATGTTGATGGTGATAATGTCTCTCACATAGTACAATTGTTCTCACAGAGGAACTTATTTACAATTGAATCATTTGGGGCAAATCATCCCAAAAAGAAAACCGTACCCCCTTCGATTCTCCTTTAATTTGGTTTATATGCCCATGCTGGTTGACAAAGCTTATATTTCATTGAAATTTGGCTATTTTAGCCCAAATGGGCGTGTCTGCTTCTATTGAAATGACCGTAGCTCAGTAACTGATTGTTCAAAATTGCTGAACTAGGTATAGCTGGGAATGCAATTCCACAAGGATGTAGTGTTCAATGTTCACATGAACAACAAGAATGGAATGGGGTTTAATGTCTTGTCTACACAATACTTTGATCTTTTAACAAACATATACATGTAGTCCTTTTTCATACGAATGGAGAGAATTTTGCACATACAGCAGCATTACTGTTTACTCTTCGTCTATTTCCAACTATCAAAGGTTTTATGTACATATATCATGTAACATACAAATGACCAAACATACTGTTCTTGTCAAATCTCGTCAACTATCTCAAGGGATTTTAATCTAGCTTAAAGTCTCTAATCGTCATTTGAATCCATTGAAAACTGCAATATTGTGGAAGTTAAACTTCTAAAAGTTTAATCTGTCCAAAAATGGTTCAATTCAGTTCAGTATAATTTTCTCTAATGTGTTAATCATTCGGACGCATCCCCCCTACCAACACCCTTTTTAGCATCTGAACACTGTACATTTTTGTAATACTTACATCTCTAACTGCCAGTGAATCTGAGACACAGGTGAAGGTTATATCTGATGATTGAATGACATCTGATGGTGACGTACCTCGTAATGCTCCAGCTTTCACAAACTCTTTACACTGTAAAATATAACAATACATAAATATAAGTTGCCAGCCAACTATATATTCAATTTAATACTGTCAAATTGATATTAAGCTTGGAATTATGCCACCTGTCACAGTGTCGGTCTTAAATTCAGGGGGTTTTTTTCTCTAAGATTTCTTTATGCTTCCCTTTGAAAAATTGCACCTGAACAATATTTCATTTCCTTCCAAGAACCTCAAGGCCAAAATGGCATCTGCATAAACTGGCATCTGTCTATAATTTTTGTTTAAATTAAAACTCAATAGAGTCATTTATCTAAAATTCAAATAAGACAAATAAGCCTTGAATACATCAAAAGACAAGTTGCCAGGCAACAAAACATATGCCTACAGCAGCTAAATCGTCCAAGACATCCAAGAAGGTTGTCATGTTTGTGCACACTAAAAACTGATCACAGTAATCAACTCATGAAGTAATCATTAGAAAAAATTAAAAATTGTCCTAGAACATAAATGATATGGGGAAGGGGATTAAGGTCCTTTTTTTGAATTAACTTAAAGCAAATACCAGTAATCATCTTATAAGTGAACTGTTTCGATTTGAAAACTTAATTTATGCTTCTTTATCCTTTGAATATAAACAGTGTACATGAATTCCAAGTCAAGCTGATGATAACTTTTAACCTCTGTAAATAGCTTCCACAAGCAATTGTGGACACCAGACAGACGGACATACAGACACAATTGTTTATGAGAAATTTGCACATAATTTCTAATTGATGTATTTACATTAAAACAACAAAAGATTTTTAATGGGTTATATTTTAGTTAAAATATGGTAAACAATTTTAAGTAAATTCTAAACTTAAAGATACATTATGGGAGATAAGATAAAGAGATGGCAGTTCTCGCTATAATAGTTAAAAACTAGATAGTGTAAAGGTAATTTGCTGAAAATTTCAGTCAATTTGATCCACTATGAGCCGAGAAAGAAGCGGGTGAATTTTTTGCATAGTCTCGGTCATCATTACTAAAATCATTAATATGAACAGCATAGTCTCGATTATCCACTTTTATTCATTTAATTATCAATAGCCGTTAGTGACATATAGGAATCTAATCCAGCCAACATCGAAGGCTAGCCTTGACATCGAGAGTTTATTATGGTCTGGATAAGTTAATTAATGTCTAATTGATAATTTAGATAACATGTAATAAGCAGATTTTGCTCTTGCATAATGCATGTTTAAGTCTGAGAATGCTTTGAGAACTTGGGGTCTGTTCTTTAATTTCTAGTTGAAATGAGAAACTGAAATAGAAATATGTCTCAGTGTGTTGATTACATGGTATTTAATCTGGACTTTTGTCTAGAAATGATCTTGTCTGTAAAATCTATGAACACAAGAGCCAAGATAAATATTACAACCGTCTCCCGATTTGGCAGAGAGAAATTAATTTGTATCTCCGAAAAGTAAAAAGTCTTTAAAGTGTAAATTTAAGCCTATTGTTGAAACGGAAGCATAAAGAAATGAAATGAAATGAGGTTTAACATGTCTTACTTTTCTGCATCACTCGGGATAATGAAGACTTAGTGAGGGGTATACTAATGACACATTCTACATCATGGATTTAGAGTTTTTGTGGCCCCCTCTCAAATGGCTAAAAATCATGTGGGTTCAATCGAGAGAGAATTTAACGTCCTCTCGACACAGACTATGTCATTTCGAGACTAACATATGGTTTAATTTTATTTTAATAAATTGCTTTGCTCAGGGATCTTTAGCAGTGGGAGGAAACTGAAAGAAAACCCACAAGGTTGGACAGATGGGGAAGGAAATCAGATCTATATTTCTGTAATGCAGTTTTAACTTTCACCAGTCCTCCACACCTGGGTAAAACTGGCAAATAACTGTATTCTTATTGCAGGACAGATTTCTGTAGTTTTTCAAGATGTTGATGTTATCCATATTTGTCAAATTTTAATTCCCTCTTTTTATCTGACAATTCTACAAACTTTATTGGTAAAATTTGATTTGAAAATGTAGTAAATTAGGGATATGAATTATCAATGCAGATTTTGGTGGCCTTTTTTTTATTTTATTATAAACAACTTAATCATAAGCCCAGTTGGTGCAGAAGAGTAGGACATTAAACCCCATTTCATTTCATTTTTAAAAGAATTCAATTCTACAACATTGGTATCAATTTGTATTTATGGAAATTACAAGTGGAGTAATTTAGTGATGTGAATTAATCCTGGTGTTTAGTAGTAGTGTTCATGATTGTGTTTATATATTCCTTTCATCAGCCACAAGCCATAAACCAGGCAGAAGTGAAGGCTAATTTACCAGCACTTCTGGCAGCCGGTTATTTTCTTCTTCCAGTGCAAGAAATCAACTTGCTGTAAGTTGTTGTATTATTGGCTTATTTTATCCAGATGTTAGCTACCTACACTCACTTCACCCCCCTCTTGTGATGCACAAAACCTATAATAGACTGGTCCTAGCTGACAGTAGAATAGAGAGTGAGAGAGATGGACTGAACCACCGACCAACCGGCAGGCAGAAGTAAAAGCAGACGACCTGAATCAATACATTCTCCCGTTACAGGCTTCCTTTGCTTCACTAAAACAGGCAAACTGCAGTCACCTTCAGAACTGATAGATACCCTAAACTTATATAACAGTTTTTAGTTGATATCTACTAGTTTTAACTAGGGTATACAGGGATTATAATGCCCAGATGATGAATACACTAGGGTAAGTCTTGTATATCAACCATTTAAATACCTCAATATGTGGCTTTTCTCTCAACTTGCAGGCAAAGATTATAAATATACTGGAGGTTTAAAGGTTAGCTCTGATGGACTGAGACTAATTTGGTTCCTCAGTAGACATTAATGAACATCAAACCGTGTTTTAACGGAGAAGTTGGTGTAATATAAGTGTTTAAAGACATGGATAACTCACATGGTAAATATTTGCCAGACTATACTAACATTGTGTTTAAAGAGTTTAATCTGTGTTATAACCGGTCAATTGGCTGGATTAACATAACACTGCTGCACTCATTCCTACACTCTCTTTACCCGAATTCTTATTTCTTACATTAGGAAACTTGCCAGTGTCTTAAAACAATATTATGAAACTAATGGATGTTGAGGATGAGATTCTCACATCTTCTATGGGTAGCACTAATGCTTTGAAGGATTTATTAGGTTTAGTTTTGAGGCATACAGCGGAATTTAAACTATTTTGCCTAAGAAAGTCTCACAAAATTTACAGTATAAAGAACTTGCTTTTTATTGTTGAGTTTTAAAAGCTGATTTAACCCATAACAAGACTATTTATTGCATTAAACATACATTATGCAAGAGTTAAATCTGCCTATTGCAGGTCTTTCTTTAGGCCTGAAATGTTATAAAAATTATTAATTAGACATTAATTAACTTATCCAGACAATAATCAACTCTCGATGTCATCGCTAGCCTGCGATATTTACTGGATTAGGATCTGATTTGCTGCTCACCGAGGCTAGGCCGAAAATTCAATTGCTAATTTCTCGATTCAGTGTGGATCAATTTGACTGAAATTTTCAGCAAATTCCCTTTACATTATCTTGTTTTTAACTATTATAGTGAGAACTGCCAGCTCTTTATCTAATCTCACATAATATATCTTTAACTATAAGAACAATATAGCTAAAGATTTAGTGTCTAAGTATTATTACTCATTCCTCTTTAGAAATACATGTATTTGTCCTAGAACATTAATTTGTATAAATTACATGTAATTGCCTTAAAAATAATGCATTTGTACGAATTACATGCATTGTCCAAAAACTGGAACATGTGTCTAAATTACATGTATTGTCCTAAAAAAAAGTGCATTTGCATGAATTCATGTATTTGCCTTACAAATAAAGTGAATTACATGGATTTTTCCTATAAATAGAGCATTTGTACAAGTTACATGTTATTGTCCCAAAACTAGAACATTTGTACAAATTACATGTAATAGTCCCAAAAACTAGTCATTCAAATTTTATAAGTATATTGCGACATAGAAATGATTTGAAAATCGGTTTTCTTCTGCAATATTTCAGTCTTATATTGTGATGAGAACAAATTTGGAAAGTATTCAAACAGTAAAGTCAGGGTATTTATCCTGTCTCATCTCCAGAAAATAAATCACATGTGAAAGCCTGCACTAGATTATAAAACACCAACAAGCAGCGCTAGGAAATTCATTAAACCCTTGAAACTGACCAGCGAAATCTAACAATACGACTTTGAAGACAATTCTGTAACAGAAATGAATTCACAATTTTCCCAGACTCATTAAGGATAATTATAATCTGCCGATCCAAAATGTAATAATGAGACATAAAAAGACAATTCAGAAACATAAAACGAATTCTCAATTTCCCAGACCATTAAGCAAGGACAATTATAATCTACAGATCCAAACTATTGGTTAAATGTATAAATATGTAAGGAAGTAGGGGCAGGAAGGAAGAATCAAAAACTGAAGACATGAACGACTGGAGGTTATTTGTTTAGTTTATGATTCATATATATTCCGTCTGTCTGCGAACGTATGTAGGTCTGTATAACAGTATATGAAGCTAGAGCTATCCATGTCTGTCTTACACGAAATCTTGCCTGTCAATAGAGGGATTATAATTCAGTTGAAAACTTGTGTACACTGTAAACACCTATAGCAGAACAGTTTACATAAAACTGTTTCATTCTGCACCAACCTAATGTAGATAGGCATACGCCATGCAGTGTGCTATAAGCGAAATTTTGCCCAGGGCAGAACGAGGAGTTTCCACCAATTCTACATTGAATTTCAACTGTCAAGGGTTTTTTTTATGTCACACCAACATTTGAAACATGAAATTTACTCAAAGAAAAATCAAATGCTCTTGATGCAAGACAGCTGAAGCCAGTAATTTCAAACTAACCTGGACAGCTAGGTAAGAAAATATAACTTATCGAAGACAGAGAGCTACAATTTTCTTAGTGTACCCACTAACACATACATGTATGCATTCAGACGACAAAGTTAACATTAGTCTAATGATTGCCAGTGCTTTTTAACCAACTTAACTTACATGTCTGAACTAAACAGAATATAAAAGACTAGCAGATCAGTAGGTAATATCTTGATGAATTGTCTAATAGGGTCTGTGGGTTTATTTTTCTGTTAATTTTAAAAATACACAAATTTGGAGATACAAGCTTTAGAACGTATTTTTTGTTTTTAAAATATTCCAATAGGTAACCTACCAAAGAATTTAATTCAAATTGGTCTGGTTATGATGAAAGATATTGAAAAACCCTAATCTGAATCAAACAGTGCACTGAGCATGTGCAGCCTATTTGGGTAACACACAAATGCCAGGAGAGAAAACCTAAACATTGTAAGCCATCAAATAGTAAGATCATTAAGTCGAACACTATCCCAGTGATAAACATGTACATAGACTAACAGTTGATCTCGTTATAAACTAATTATCACATCAGGAAAGAAGCGCAATTAATACATTCTACACAACTAAAGTACTGGATATATAAAAAACCCTGTAAATTACAATGTCTATCCCATCAACATAGTAGGCATTAAGGCTGTTGGACAAAATGTCTGTCATGCATGGAATATGCATGCCTGTCTTTATTACATTGATGGGTGCAGAAAAGTAAAGATGTTAAACTCTATTCCATTCATTCTTCAAATGAGATATAGATCATTAAAAACTAGGTGAGTTAATAAAAGACTAGCCTGTGCAAGAGAATATATTATACACAGTATGTAAATACATGTAGGTTAATGTAAACACTGAACATATGTTTTTTTAGAATTTCGTATTTTTTAATATTCAACAAGACTGAATAGTTAACTTGTTCATGTATAAGTTTTATTTGTAAAGTTTGTTAAATATAAAATCATTCATTAGTAGAAACCTTATAAAGATAAGGAAATGAAATTATTTGATGTGTAACAACATTGATAAACTTCAATAATGCAGCAGATGTTGTGAACTGAATCAAAACACAAGATAAAAACAAGAATTTAACATTAAAATTGTTGGCCATGTCAACATTCCAAAACATATGGCATCCACAGTGACTCAGTGAGTAAGGTACCAGCTTCCTAGGTTCAGTGGTTCAGATTGCGAGCAAAATAAGCAAAAAGTGTGTATTGGAAAATTTGGAATCGATGGTAAGTAGGCAGAAAGGCCACTGCATGGGCAAATTTCCCTCAAAGTACACTACATGGTGCTTTCCCATCTTTGTTACCAAGTTTAGTGCAAAAAAAAGGGATGTAAAACCCCATTTTATTTCACCAATACATAAGTGGGATGTAAAACCCCATTTCATTTCACTAAAACCCCATTTCATTTCACTAATACATAAGTGGGATTTTAAACCCCATTTCATTTCACCAATACATAAGTGGGATTTTAAACCCCATTCCATTTCACTAATACCAAAGTGGGATGTAAAACACCATTTCATTTCACCAATACATAAGTGGGATGTGTAACCCCATTTCATTTCAGTTTCACCAATACATGAGAAATGATACTGTGTATTCCAGAGACAATACATACTGCATGCTCTTCCTCCTACAAACTGCACTTTTTACTACTTTAGGCAAAATAAAGCATATTTTTGGGGTTAAATTTCACAAGCTGGATATTTATACAAATTCACTCATAGACAACTAACATAAAACGGTCAAGTTTCACCCAAAATGTTTTTAACTTTTCAACCCACTTTGTTTTGAAGCAAGTTCTATTAATTTTCCACAAGGACCAAATAAAATGTCTAATCTAAGGGCTTAGGCATATAAATTTCAAATGAAAAATCAATTGACTGAAGATGTAAAGTTTTCTGGTAATCTAAATAATCTGTTTTCTGGAGGAAATGTGTAAAAGGTTTCCATGGAAACTAAGAAAAGACCAGGATATTATTAGAGTTCACTAGATTCTGATAAAAAAAAAAATGGCAATGACAAACTTAAGATTTTATCTGTTACAACGAAATTAATCTGTGCCAGGCTCAGTTATTTCATAACGGTTTAAAGGGAAAGAGAGAGACACACACATACACACAGAAAAATGGGGTTAAACGTCCCATACACACAACTAGGTCATTTCAAGACTAACATATTGTTTAATTTTATTTCAATAATTTGCTTGCACGTAGGTGTCCTTAGCAGTGCGAGGAAAACAAAAGAACAGAGAAATTTAGTTGGACAAGTGACCAGGCTTTATACAGAAAAAGGGTTTCCTTTCTTGTAAAGACCCTGCACCCCAGCCAACTAGTGAAAGTATATTGTACGATGTTAGTCCCGAAATAACCTGGTTAGTGTTGAAAACAACATTCTTTAACTTTAAATCTTGTATCCAAGCTTTAGAAATATACTATTCAAAAAAAGTAGGGGATATTTGATTTTTAAGTGTTATTAAAGTCACCTAATGAAACTGACGATAAAACAAATGACAAAATGAAATGAAGTTCACATTCATCGATTTATTCCAAATGATCGTTAGACTAAGTAAGGCACAGACTGACCATTATAAGGGTAAAATGATACCCGGGGTCAAACAGCAAAGTTACCACAGCATCACAACCAAGTCAGTAACGGGTAAATCCTCCTCTGTTTGCCAAACAAGCATTGATCCGACGTGGCATACTCCTAATGAGACGTCTAAGGTCATTTTGGTCCAGATTGTCCCATTCCTGTTG